AGATGGCACTGGGGGTGTCACTGGGGGTTGCACTGTGGGGAGATGGCACTGGAAGGGTGTCACTGGGGGACTGCAGTGTGGGGAGATGGCACTGGGGGTGTCACTGGGGGTTGCACTGTGGGGAGATGGCACTGGAAGGGTGTCACTGGGGGACTGCAGTGTGGGGAGATGGCACTGGGGGTGTCACTGGGGGTTGCACTGTGGGGAGATGGCACTGGAAGGGTGTCACTGGGGGACTGCAGTGTGGGGAGATGGCACTGGGGGTGTCACTGGGGGTTGCACTGTGGGGAGATGGCACTGGAAGGGTGTCACTGGGGGACTGCAGTGTGGGGAGATGGCACTGGGGGTGTCACTGGGGGTTGCACTGTGGGGAGATGGCAGGGATGTCACTGGAGGTTGCAGTGTAGGAAGGTGACACTGGGGGTATCACTGGGGGTTGCAATGTAGGGAGGTGACACTGGGGGATTGCTGTGTGAGAAGGGAGCACTGCGAGGGTGTCAATGCCGGGGGCACTGCCGGGAGGTGGCACTGGGCACAGAAGTCTGGCTTTGGAAGCAAGTAGCATTTTCCCAGCTACTTATTTGTTTGTCACTACCTTTGGCACACGCGTGCCCTGAGATGCGGCCCAGCCCCTGCACTGGCCAGCTGTGAAGCCGAGGGTCTCTAGGCGCTCCTCGGCCTCTGTCTGCATTCGGCATCGCTGGGCTGCCTTCGATTTCACCCACATGAACACCAATCGAGGGAAACGCCTTTGGACCCGTCAGGACCAAATTGTTACAGCGAAAAAGCACCAAATCATCTTCAGCCAGTACTGAGACGGCAGGTAGCGAGGAAGGCGGTGGCCAGGCAGGCGGGATGAGCGGAGGGGGAGGCGGTTGGGGAGCAACGCGGGGCAGGAGCTGGATGAGCAGAGAGTGGCGAGATGAGTGAGATGGAGGGGATGACAGACCAGGGAGGAGACACATGAAAACACAGCAACGGCCTGAAGGGCAAAGAATGAGCACATGAAAACATGGAGGGGGAGAGGGAGCGAAGGCGAAGAGGTGTAAGAGAAGGTAAAGTGCAATGGGAGCTGGGAAGTGAGAGACCCATGGGGAGAGGGAGGAGGCAGCAGGGGAAAGGTGGGGAAAATCTGCTGAGGGAGAGGGCAGACGAGGTGGGGTTGGGAGAAGGGGATTTGGGTGGGAAATGTGGTAAAGAAAGGGAGGGGTGCAAACACCAGAGCAAGGCAGAGGCCAGGGACCAGGAGGAGCTGTCAGGCCGAGGGCACGGATGCGCAGCTCCTCTCCCCGCTTGGAGCCTTTCCCTCTCTGGCACCCGCTTGCCTCGGGTGACATTTCTCAAAGGGTAAGAGCCAGTTTGCTTTGCTTCCTCCTCCTCCCGCCTTTGCTCAGCTTTCTGTGCCGTTGCATTAATTCCCTCATGAAATGCCAGAGATCACCAGCTCTCCAGTGTGCCTATAGCAGCTGAGGCAGTTTTAGTGACATGCACTTGTGCCCAGCACGCCCAGTCTTGGACTCTTTCCAGTCTCCTCCTGCTCCCTTGACTGCCCTGAGTCTGCCCTGAGTTCTTCAGCAGCAGCTGTGTAGCATGAGCAGCTTTCCTCCATTTGGCACATTTTGGAGAGGTGCCAGGCGTGCTGTCACGCTTGGCACCTCCCTGATGGCATGTGTGCTGCTGATAGATGACTTCACGTGGGGTCACCATGTGAAAATATAGTATTAATATTTCTCTGTGTGCCTGGGGAGCTCTGCAGTGCCTGCTGCAGCTAGCGGCACCTCCAGCAAGTAATGGCGAGCGGGCCTACGCCACGCGCA